CCTACCACCACCATTCCCACCTGCCTCTGGCAACCACCAGCCTCTTCTGTTTCTGTGGATTCATTTGTTTGTTTTAATTGAGATAGAATTGGCATATAACATTATATTAGTTTCAGGTGTATAATATAATGATTCAATATATGTATGTATGCTGTTATTTTGAAAGAATTTTACTATATATATTATTATGGGTTGACACTCTCAGCAAATTGTGGTATCATCCCAGTCTTCCAGCTTCTATTGCTGAAAATGAAAAGTCAACTCTGGGTCTAATTATTATTCTTTTGTAGACAATCTGTTTTCTTTCTGGGTGCTTTTAAGATTCTGTTTGCCTTTGGTATTCTACGGTTTTATTACAGTCTCTCTCTCTTTTTGCTTTTATCTATCATGAAATTTATTGGGCTTCTTAAATATGAGGATTGTTTGCTTTCATTATTTCTTGAATATCCACTGCCATTATGTCTCTGAATATTGCCTCTTTCCCATTTTCTATAATATTACTTTCTAGAGCTTTGATAGATAGTCATATTTTAATGTCTCTTAACTCCTCTTTAATTTGCCATATTTTTTTATGTTTCCACACTGCATTCTGTATACTTTATTCATATTATCTTCAAGTTCACTGATTTTCTCTCTAGCTATATATAATATGATATTAAATTTCAGTGGTTCATTTTTCATTTCTAGAAGTTTTATTTGGTTCTTTTTTCTAATCAGCCTAATAATTTTTGGTAGTCCCTTTTTCCTAAAAAGTCCTGTCAAATACAACTTCATATTCTTTAAACTTATTAAACTTATTTTGTATTCCATATCTAATAATTTCAATATCTGGAGCCTACAGCTCTTGTTCTATTGTTTGTTGTTTCTGCTGGTTGCTACTTATGGTGCCTTACGTTCTTTTACGTTTAGTAATTTCCTATTATGAGCATGTATTTGTTGGAATGCGTCTGTGTGGATTCTGTAAAGGCTGGGTTAAGGGTGTGTTTTTCCTGGGAAGACTTGTGTGTGTGTGTGTTTGTTTCTGTGATACATTGCAGGTACCTGCAGTCCCATGTAACTTTAAATTACAATTCTTGGGTTATGGTTTCTCAGGCCACACTTGTCATAGTGGGACAGATTATAAAGATGTAGTTTTCTTTTGTTTGTTTATATTTTTCTGTGTTTTTAAATATCACTAATAGCAAAGACAGTTTACTGCCTGATTCTATGGGCTTACTATTTTGGGATTTTTTTCCTAGTTTGCCTAACCTCTGAGTGTAACCTTTCTCAGACCTTTACTTTATATATAGGGTATTTACCTGTCTGCACATGGACCACTTTAGGGAGCCTCTGTTCTGCTTACCACAGTGATGGAGTCCCATCTCTAAATCAGTCTTTTTTCCCCTAACTTCTTTTTTCTTCCTTCCTTCTATCTTCCCTTTCTCCCTTATTTTACTTCCTTCCTTCTTTCCTTCTGTCTTTGTTTGAGCTGCTATAACAAAAGTACCTTAAAATGGGTGGCTTATAACAAATAATCATTTTTCATAGTTCTGAGAGCTGGGAAGTCCAAGATCACCAAACCAGCAGATTCATTGTGGCAGCTGATGAGGGCCTGCTTCCTGGTTCATAGGTGGCACCTTCCCACTGTGTCCTCACATGGTGGAAGGGGCCAAAGGAGCTCTCTCAGACCTCTTTTCTAAGAGCACTAATCCCATCCATGAAGGCTCTGCCCTCATGACCTAATCACCTCCCAAAGGCCCCACCTGCTCCTAATAGCATCACCTCGGGGGTTTGGATTCCAGTATATGAACTTTTCACACTATGGCTCCCTCCTTCCTCCCTCTCTTGCTCTTTTCCTCCCTTCCTTCCTCCCTCCCTCCCTCCCTTTTCTATGCTCAGAACATACATTTTTTCCTATAGAGATCCGTGTCAATATAGTTTGTCAAACCAATTTTATCCCTTCATATGTTGTAAGTATGAATAATGTCATCACAGTCTGTGTGGGTGGGGTAGGGATGAGAATGACCAGGGTTTGGAAGTAGGGGAGAGGCCTGGCTTCACCAAGCGAGTCATTCCTGTTACCCTCCTAACAATAGTGTAGTGAGCCTTATTGTCTAGTTAGGTTGGTTTAGCAGTCCTTTTCTTAACTATATACTGCCTTTCTATGTTACAGTTTAAAAACATATCCACATTCAAAATATTTAGATAACTTCGCAGAGTATTTAATCTAGTTACCATTTATTGAGGTTCTGCTATATCTGTGTAAAAGAAAATGAACTGTGTTAGTGCTACACTCAGTTAATTTTACTTGGTTACAGCTTATTTAGTTACTAAAGGGGGTGACGAGTAGATTCTCTGCCACATTGCTACATTTACACTTATGGTAATAAATACATCTATGTTATATAAGTGATTCCCGCTTAATAATACTTTATTATTAACATTTTATTAAGAGTTTATTAAAATATGGGCAGTAGGCAGTGTTTTCTAGTTCATAACAATGAATTAAAACACAGATCTTTGAAATAATTCCCAGATGCTTATAATTTTATTAGTGGCACTGGACTTTTGAAAACTAACACACACACACACGCACACACAAAGAATTCTCTCATCATCAGCCACTCACTCCTAAATTCGTCATGCAGCATTTTCTTCTCACAATAACCCAAAGAAGACCAAGCCTGAGAATCTGTGAAATCTTTCCTGGTAAATCCTGAGAGAAACCACATTTAATTATTTTTGTTTATAGAGACCCAAGTTAAGCTTGTAGCTCTACATTTCATGGAAAGATTAGACTACACTTCTTAATTCTGATATCGCCTGCTTTAGACTAGCCTGTACCGAGATAGAAGGTAGTGCTCTGTCCTTGGAATAGATCAGAAAGTACCTGATCTATTTACAATAGACACCAAATCCCTGATCAGCTTTGAGTGGTTTGCCTTAAACTTGCATATTTTTTTGTGACAAGTTTTTGATTAATTTAAATTTAGTTTCTCTAAAGTATGGATATGGTCATTTTGATTCTTTGATGCACTAACATAATATATGCTAAGCAACAATGATTCATTTTTAAATTAAGCTTAATTTGTGTAGGTTACTATAAAATTACCAGAATCTTCTCCAAATGAATTTACTTCACACAAGTTGTGAATAAAATTTTTATTTCACACTTTCTTAGAAGTTACGTATGTTTCATTAGAAGGGCATGGGGCAGGGGTGAAGAATGTGATTCTTATTGACAAAGCCACATTGTAGTTAGAAATAGTGGTTATATACCATTACACCTTTGAAAATGCCCTGGGTTTACCAGTGATGTAACATGATACTGCTGTGTGCAGCAGAAAACAAAAAAGGTAAGCTAATGTGTTTTCTTCTCAAGGTTGGCTAGAAGAGATTTAAACTGTATAAATTATCATTGTTTCTGACTATTCTTTAGATTTCAGTTGTGCTTCTTAAAACTTCTACAGGTACTTAAAACAGATGCTGAGGAACTTGTCTCCAGAAGCTATTGGGATACACTGAGACGTAATACAAGCCAAGCACTCTTTTCAGACCTCGCAGAGGTATAATTAAACCTCAACCAGGTCCTTGTACTATTTGCCGTTTTGTTAATCTAGTCCTCATTTCATTTTCGAGTCACAGCGATGAAACCAAAAATATATTTTCTCTTTTTCTCCAGTAAAGCAGTAATTCCTATATGTAAATTGGTATATTTGAATATGTCAACTGTGCTGGCAGGGGCGGCAAGGTCACCTGTAATAGTCCATGGTAAATCCACTCGCTTCTTGTAGAAAACATGACTTTCCAACTTAATTAAAAGGAAATACTGTTCTTTTTCACTTAAAGGTCACTTTCAGGAAATTTGAAAATACTATTTTATAGTTTCACTGAATCTCTTAACCTTATAATTTGCAATGTTACATGAAATGCTGAAACTTCTAACTTGGTAAAAGATAGCTAATGCTTTAGAGTTATGGTAGATTTAAAATCAAATTTCCTAACATTAATAGCGAGTGGCTTACCAAGGGTGGGCATGGCGGAGGTGTGCTAACAGCAGTCAGTCAGGGAAGGGAGGACATTTTACCTTGACATTGGTTAGGATTGCCAGTGTGTGGAAAATTAAAAGTAGACTGACCAATATATCATTCACTATTGTTTTCAAATTCCATAGAGATACTTACCTTTTTGCTGCACTCAGGTGGACTGTTCCCACCACCCCACTCATTATGGCACTGTTAATAGGGATTTGTCATTTTAAAAGATAGGCTATGTCTTGTAGATTAAATACTTTTCTATGTTCCCTATTAAGGATTTTTAAGAACTTTATTAGAGATGGCTGTCTGGCTTACCACAAAGGACTTTTCAGTAAATACCAGGAGATGTATTTTTTCATTATCTTTTTCTCTTGAAAGTTGGCTTCTCGTTTCTTTTTCTAAAGTTTGACTTTTAAAAGTTATACTTAAAAATATCTAGAGAAGTAAACTGGAATGAATTCTGTTACCCACATAGACAGTGTTACTCAGTGGACACCTCTAGAGCAGGGCAAACACTTGTAAATGTTAATTTTGTCACTTGTGCACAATTTTAAAGTCCTAAAACAAATAAATAAAGCATTCTGCCCTATATAGAGTCTGTCTGTGATATGTAAATATGATGTAATTATGACCAGCAATTATTAATCTTTAAAACTTACCTTTTAAATTTTAGCTATTTTTAGGCGTAAAGTGCTAGTAGATAGTCCATTTACACATATTTTAGAAGTGCTTAATTCTGTAATCATTTATGTAGGCATATAGTAGTCAGGGCCTAAAAGTAAGAGCAATGGGGGACACTAGTCCTTAGAGTCCCTACAAGCCTGCTGTGCCCAGCTTCAAACTAGCAGTCGTGTCCTGCTGTCTCTTCCCACCATAGGCTGTCCACCTCTCAGCCTACAACTGATCTTCAATCCCATTTAACTCTGCTAGAAATTCTCACAGTTAGGCACAACCTGCTTATTATATGTCAAATTTAATTTAAATCTTGGTAATATCAGAAGACCATTCAGCTCTTACATATACTCAAAGGCCTTATATAAGATTTGCGTAAGATCTTTTGAAGATGTTTATTGCTCCATCTGATGTGTGCTGGAGCTGTGGCTTTTACAGCTTCCCAGAGCTAGTTCTGCACATCTCTTCCCAACTCAGCATTCCATGACATTCCGTTGGTACCTTCAGATTGACCATGATAGGTGTGTTACTACCGTAGACATTGGCAAACACTACAAATCAGGCTTTTTTATTTTCCTAGAGAGCCAGTTCACTAGCACACCATTAACTGTAATCAATCCACACTATAATCATAAGCTGCTAAATCAATTAATGAATTGACTCAAACATCGTGAAAATAAATTTGATGGAGAGAAGTGCAAAGAAAAAGAAGAAAAGAAAACAAAACTTAAATATTGTGTTTCCAAGTAAAATAATTATTCGGGGATCATCTCTGTTACTGCCCTCCCACATTAGAGAAGATAATTGAGAATTAGCTGTAGTTAAATTACAACTCATTATAATTCCTTATAGGTTACTACTGATGCCAGTGAAACATTGAAGTACTGTCAGTACTTCAGGGTTTGAATTAGTTCAGAAAGAAAGCTTAGAAATCTATTTGTATTTCTCTGTTTCTCATATTTAAAATGTAAATATTGAGATAAAGCAGTTCTCTTTACATAATGTAGGTAAATTTGAGATTAGCCTCTCATATTCTTATTCCAGAGCTATTTCTAACCATAAATTTTTTTTCAGTGATAGTAAAACCATGTTATAATGAAAATTTGAATACCACAGCTGATACCACTTTCTAACCAAAATAATAGATAATAAATTCATAGTACAATATGTCTATCATGCAGCTATTGAATACAGTCTGTGAGTACCAGAATTACAAAAACTGTTTTGAGCTATACAGATGCAATTTAAATTTTTTTCTTATCTGCTTTAAACTTTACTAACCCTTAATAAGTTTCAGTAGGTTATTTAAAACCTTCCTAACAAATCAAGAGTTTGACGATTTCCTCCAGCCCATGAGTAGAGCTTGATAAGATTATTATCATATAGTAATCAATAAAAATATATTGAAAGAATTTCTTAAAACTCTTTAATAGCTTGATATATTTTTATTTTATGCAAGTTTTTTAATTTGTTTATTCCATTTTTGGTGAAATCATTTAAAATAATTTTTAATCAAAACGAAGTTAGATAATGACCTCTCATGGGGTTCTTTTGTGGCTTTTTCTCGCTTTGTTAATGAAAACACCTGAATTCATTTTATTTTAACAATGAGCACAAGAGTCAAAGGGATAAAGTCTGTATTTTTGTCTCACCTCTCCTGTGATTTAAGTTATATAACACTGTTAGGATACCAAGGACACTGGTATAGTTTTCAATGACTCCCAACAGTACTCTGTTTCACTGAATGGGGGGAACAGGTTTTCACCATTTCCATTTTCTAATTTTTCTCTCTAATGTCAAACTGTTGTTTATGCTTCTGTGGGTCTGGATTATCTGGATAAGAGCAACCTAAGTCTAATAAGATTTCGATGATGAAAGACTGTAAATGAAGATTTGCTCTGCTCAATGGGCATGAGAAAAAGTGGCCGAATGAGGTCATTATTTAAAACCTGTGTAAAACAAAGCCACCTCATTTCAGTGTATTATGTCTCGAGGTAAGGAACATGACGACACTAGAGGAAAACATTCCATAATTATGTTATCAGGATTCTCTAACTTTTGGTGTTCCTGTATCCTCTCATTTTAAGGCATTTTTTTAGATCTATATAACATATAGGTATAGTTTCAATAACACAAAAGAAGTAAGAGTGTACCATGTAAAAATATTTTTTCGCATTAAGCTCCAACATTATTTTCTGTCTTGTCTAGTCCTTTTACAACGTCTTGGAATATACTGATTTGTCAGAAATAAATAATAGTAGCTAACACTTACTGAACATTTACAATATGCCAGTTATTATAATGCTGACTAACATGAGTTATCTAATCCTCACAACAACCCTTTAGGGTAAGTACTGTTGTTGTTCCTGAGGATAATTATATCCTCGGTGAGACTAATTTCCCCAAGGTCACCTAACTAATGAGGAAAAAAGTCAGAATTCAAACCAGAAATCTCACTCTTGAGTTCATCATCCTATTTGCTCACCACGCTACTGCTTATTTGTGAAGCAGCAACTTGTTCTAAAACCTTATCCCTGCTCCTCTTCTTGGTCACTTTGCCCCTCTTCCACATTCCATCACTCTAGCTTCCAGATGGATACCCCAGTTCTTCATGCTGACCTATGATTGGCTTGAGCCTCCACTATTATGGTCCCTTTAGGCATGCCTTTTCAAATATTTCCTCCCCCTACTAAATTAAGCTGTTCCTTGGGTAATAAACTGATTAGGTTTGATTATACATGATCATGAAAGAATGTCTATAATTAACAAGCTACCTTCTCCCCCCAAAAAGGTCTTAATGCTTTTGTCCAAAGCATCTTATGACTACCAATAAGAACATGTATATGTTTCATTTACATTCATATCCTAACCTTATCCTGAAAATGGTTATTGTAGATAGGGTTTTTCCCATTTTACAGGTAAGGAAGCTGACGATCAAAAAAGTCAGTGAACTCAGGTCTTCTGATTTTAAATCCTGTCCTCCTTCTGTTACATCAGTCTACCTTCTCAACTTAAAGCTACTGGTGAAAGTATAATAGTAGTGCCTTTTGAGCCGTACACGAAAGTTACACTAATTTGTCACATAGGGGGCCTTGAAAGACTGGCACCACTAATACTCCTCAACACTCATAATAAGCTTGTTCAAGAAGGTATATATGTGACACCTGGCTTCCTGGCTGTGTCTTTTTTCCCCAAGTGATCAGATCAAACCATTATCAGATCAAAGGAGTTGGTTATATTATAGGGAACTTCTCGGTTATTCCAGCTCCTGAGAATACTTGGAACTTGTCAGCAAACTCAAATAAGAAGTAGTAGAGATCGTCCAAACCAATTATTAGGAGGTTACATTCTAGAGATTATTTAGAAAAATCCAAACTAGATTACAAATATAGACTACATAGGTGATTACTAAAGAATCTCAACAATTTTAGATTATTTAAAGTAGAAGATACCCTACATGTTTTAAAGAGTCTTTAAGAGAGACATGAGTCACCCATGTAGCAGAAAGATCACTTCAGAAAATAGTTTCATGGATTAAAAGAGGGCATGTTGCAGGGGGAAAAGCCTATCAGAAGATGCAGGCTTCTATAACTCCATTCTAGTCATTACAAGAGAAGAATAATATTTGGTCTATAGGGAGAAGGGAAATAAAGACCCAACAAATGTTATGAAGGATAAAGATGGCTATCTTCATGAAAGATTGGGAAGGGGGCGATCAGGAATCAAAAGATTGCCAGATTTAGTGTTTGGAAGATGGGTAAGATGAGACTGTATCAGGGAACATGGAAGGTGACTGATGCTTTGAAGAGAAGTATATATTTTCTGTTTCTTATGTTTTCTATGGAGTGGTATCATGATTCTGGTCAAGAAGTAATAGTTTCAAATATGTAACTTTAGATGGACATTTGCAGCTAGTTTTTAAATATAGAAAATGATACTTATTATTTAACCTCTTACTTTTTCTTACATTTCCCAGGATAATACATGGGGAGAGGTTATAATCACTTGAATTTTATTAGGTTTGTAACTGAGTTTATAAGATAGGTATGAGTTAATGGCCAAGTGAACAAGGAAGGAAAGAGAAAGAAGGAAGGAAAGGGAATGGGATGGGAAGGAGGGACGCAAAAGGAAACCTATAAAGCTACATTAAAAAGGGAAGATTTTCTCAGGCCATTAAACTTTATAAGGACTATAATTAAGCTATTTTAAGAATACGTTTGTTGGAACTTGTTTATCAAGTTGAATGAGGAAGGGAAAATCCTCTGGAATTAATTTCTTATCCATTCAAAAAATAATGTAAGACTTTTCTTTGGAAAAAACTGTAGATGATATAAATTCCAAGGTAATATTACTGTAGTTTCTATTTCAAAATACAGTATCTTCTATTTAAAGTATCATGGATAAGAATACAATAGGGAAGAATCATGGTTCAAGGAAACTATTTTACGAAACTTGAGGCCATTCTTTTGTCAGCCCTATCTGTTCAATAATCTGAGGAATTTACCTCTTTTGGACATCCTAAATGAATGAATTTTTCAGGTTGATTAGGAAAATCCAAAGTAAATTACTTAAATAAAAATAAAATATTTGATGATTACTAAAGGCTTTTAACTATTTTAGATCATTTAAACTATAGATACCCTATATGCACAATTTGAGGTTGAAGACTTCTTAATATAATCATAACTTTAAGTTTTTTTGGAGATAAACATCAATTTCATCTGTATTTCTATTTTCGAATTTTGAACTTCTTTTTAACTGTAATGGCATGTATTAATACATCCTTCTGCTTTTCATTCTAATGTTAATGTATGTGTGTTCTTTGGGGGATATTGGGTATCTGTATTCTGTTTTGTTTTATTGCAGCTAACCTTTAAATTGTGATTTTTTTTTAAAGCGTGCTGATGACATTACAAACTTAGTAACAGATACTACACTTCTTGTACACTTTTTTGGAAAGAAAGGAAAAGCTGAGCTCAACTTTGAAGATTTTTATAGGTGAGCTTAATTTTTATATTTGTATTGAAAAATGTTAACATGCTAAAGTCAGGAAGGTCTTTAGGAATCATTTAGTGCAGTGACACTCACCTCTTTGCTGCTTTCATCTTAACTAAAGATACTCTATAACAAATATCCACTCCTGTCAGTGCTTGTGTACCAGTAGTTCTATTGATAAATGTAACAGGAAGTCACTGAATGATGAAAAATATCCATATATCTGGATTGATTATTTCCTATATATTCAGAAGAAAGAATATTACCAATTCCTCAGTCTCAATAAGCTGCAGTAATAATAATAATAGGCATGTATATAGTGTTTGCTGCAATAAACACGAGGCAGGGCACATTAACTCCTTTAAGTCTCATCACTACCCTGCAAGATATTCTTGTTATGCCCATTTTACAGATGAAGAAGCCAAAGTCCTGAGAGGCTAAGTACCATCTGTTACCACCACTCTTCATTTATCTTATTCATTGTTTATGTATTTTTGTCATAGATTCATGGATAACCTCCAAACAGAAGTTCTAGAAATAGAATTCCTTTCCTACTCTAATGGGATGAATACTATCAGTGAAGAAGATTTTGCTCATATTCTTTTACGATACACAAATGTGGAAAATACATCAGTATTTTTGGAAAATGTGCGTTATAGTATACCTGAAGAAAAGGTATCTAATCCCCATTTTTATTTTGTCACATATGTTATTATCTTGTAATTATATAGGTCTGTAAAATATATTGTCCTTCTGTTAGTTCTTTTGCTCCTCTGTGGATTAATAGATTCTTTGGATATATTCCATCCTTCTTTCCTCTGTGTCTTAAGCGCTCTGGCTAAACTTTAAAATGAATTAATTTAAGATTCTGGGTTGGGACTTCCCTGGTGGCACAGTGGTTAAGAATCCGCCTGCCAATGCAGGGGACAGGGGTTCAAGCCCTGGTCTGGGAGGATTCCACATGCTGTGTAGCAACAGCCCATGCGCCACAACTACTGAGCCTGTGCTCTAGAGCCCATGAGCCACAACTACTGAAGCCCGTGTGCCTAGAGCCCGTGCTCCACAACAAGAGAAATCACCACAGTGAGAAGCCCCCGCGCACTGCAACGAAGAGTAGCCCCCACTCACCACAACTAGGGAAAGCCCATGCACAGCAACAAAGACCCAACACAGCCAAAAATAAATAAATAATAAATTTTTTAAAAATTAAAAAAATAATAAAATTCTGGGTAGATATCCATACTTTTCTTAGACATGCTAAAAACCTTTAAGGTTATTAGCAGTAGTTTTATTCACATTATGGATATCACTTTTCAAGAGAATTCTGCTGAGCTATAAGCTTTGACTACTATGTAAACCACCTCATATAAAACAGTTTATATTGACATCATTTCAGTCACACTTTATTCATTTCTATAATACCCTTAATAAAAGGTCATTAGAAGACAGCTATTGACAAGCGAGTGATCTTATCGGTAGTTGAAGTGAGGTTTTTCAAAGAGTTTGGATGGCATGAATGGTTAAGAACCTGGGACAACTGATTGTCTATTTGTTTAGTAGCAAATGTTTTGTCAGCAATTCTGAGCAGTTGCATTATCTAGTGGTATTTGAGTGCATCACTGCAACCAAATAGAACTGGTGTTACAAGTACCCCGTCAAGCATGGGATGTTTTGGATATATTGCCTTCTATTTGTGTTTGTAGAAGGATCAAGTTAATCTATCCAAGAAAAACTTGCAAACAGTTTAACTTTGTTTAAAGTGGATACACTGTGACGGTGCTAACAATTCTGCAGGTCCCCTACGGAATGAGGAAAAAAGGACTTGATGCATTTGACTATTAGTTTATGTAATCACTTAGGGGTCTTTTATCTGTTTTACATGTTGACGTAAATTTTTTCCAATTCATAGACACTCCCCTAAAAATAAATATCAGATATTGTACTATTTTGTCAAGCTACGAGTGTATTATTTAGGGCCTTGAAGAATATGCTTTTTTTTCTTTTATCCACTGGAAAATTATAAAAATCTGAAATTCAAAAAAATCAATTCCAGGGTGAAGTGTTTAGGGAACTCTTTGTACTGTTTTTGCACCGATTTTTTACATTTAAAATTATTTCAAAATAAAAAGTTTGGGGGAGGGGAATTCCCTGCCAGGCCAGTGGTTAGGACTATGTGCTTTCACTGCCATGGCCCGAGTTCGATCCCTGGTCAGGGAACTAAGATCATGCAAGCTGTGTGGCACAGCCAAAAAATAAAAAATTTTCTTTTAAGTTAATTTCAGCTTCTCAAAACTTCTAATTGATAGAGGTATCTTAAATGTAACAAATCATTACAGTAAGAAAAGGAAAATATAGCAAGTGAACCGGCATTGATTCTCACTGATTTTTTTTTTTTTGCATTATCTCATCAATCATTAGAACAACCTTCCAGATACTGATAAATTTCTTTTAGAAAAGAGGAAGCTAAGGCTCTCAGGTACTTAAGATAGTTGCCCAAGGATTCAAACCCAAGATGCTAAGCCAGTGATATTCCTAACACACCCTACTTCTGTATTTACCATCTTTTCACCTGCCATCCTCTTCTCTCAAAAGAATAACAAGTAGTAGTACTTGAATAGCACTTTACATTTCTAAAATACTTTCATTTCCATTCATTTATCTAGCAGATATTAAACGTCTTCTGTTTACCAGGGCTTATTGTAGCCACCGTGGATAAAGTGACAAGATAAGCAAAATCCTTCTCTCATGGGAACACATCTTAGTGGAGAGATACAATAAACAAGTAAAGGAAAAATAGTAAATGATATCTTTTCAGATAGTGATAAATATTATGAAGAGGACTAGAAAAGAAGATAGACAATCAAGGTAGCTTTTGAGGAAAGGGTGTGAGGAATGACCTGTGCCAAGATCTGGATGAAGAACATTCCAGGCAGAGGAAACAGCAAATACTAAGGGCCTGGGGACAGAAACAGCTTCCTTTATCTGAGAAATTGCCAAAACGGTAAAGTAAAGTCAGTGAAGGGGAAATAGTAGGAGATGGAGGAGAGAGAGATAGGGGTCAGGTCTCAGAGGACCGTGTAGGCCAAAATAAGGAGTTTAGATTTTATTCTAATAGTGATTCTAAGAGTGATGGTAAGCTACTATAGTAATTAAACTTTAAAGCAGTAAACTACCTACTTCCTATTTTTGTAAATAAAGTTTTATTGGAACATAGCCATGCTCATTCTTTTAATGGATTGTCTCTGGCTCCTTTTGTGCTATAACAGTAGAGTTGAGTAGTTGCAACATGCACCATATAACCTGCAAAAATAAAAATATTTATTCTCTGACCCTTTCTAGAAAAAGTTTGCCAATCTTGTTTTAGAACATAGGTGTCATGTTTGTTCATTCAACAAGTATTTATTCAGTGAGTATTTGCTGTCTACTGTGACACTCAAATCTGATCTAACTCATGAGCCAGATATGACCTGATTCATGTCTCAAATCATCGTGGGCTTCCCTGGTGGTGCAGTGGTTGAGAGTCCACCTGCCAATGCAGGGAACATGGATTCGTGCCCCGGTCCGGGAAGATCCCACATGCCGCGGAGCGGCTGGGCCCGTGAGCCATGGCCGCTGAGCCTGCGCATCCGGAGCCTGTGCTCCGCAAGAGGAGAGGCCACAACAGTGAGAGGCCCGCGTACCGCCAAAAAAAAAAAAAAAATCATCGTGGCTGGTGTATACAGAACAGGCTTAAGTTGGCCCAGGTTTGAAAGAAGAAGGCAAGTTAGGATGTTGTTATAATAGGAGTATAGGTAAGAGATGAGCATGGTTTGGACCAGGGTGAAACTAGGGAAAAGTGGTCAGATATTGGATCATTTGAAAAGTAGAGCTCATAGAACATGTTGCTGGATTAGACTGCAATATGATGGAACAAGAATCATGAAGCACTCCTAGGTTTTGGCCTGAACCACATGGTGAAACAGTGCTGCCATTTATTGAGCTAAGCAAGACTTAGCTTGGCATTAGGAAAGAATCAATGGTTTTATTTTGGACAAGTTAAATTTGAGATTCCTATGAGGTATCCACTTGAAGAAATTCTGCAGGCAGTTGGATGTGTGACTCTAGCATTCAGGGGTGCAATCAGGACTACTTTTGGTGTATAGACTTCCAAATGGTGTCTCCAGTTTAAACTTCTCCCCTGAATTTCAGTCTTTTACTTCATACCGCCTACTCAGCATCTCCAATAGTATCCAATAGACATCTCAGGCTTAATAGTTGCAAAACTAAACTCCTGAGCATCCCCCCAAAATCTTGCTCCACATGCCATCTTCCCTGCTTGAATTAACGGAAACTACATTCTTCTAGTCGTTCTAGCCAAAATTTTTGGACCTCTTCCTCTCATTCTACATACAATCCATCACAGATCCTCCTGACACTGCTTCTGTCAGAATTTGATCACTCCTTGCCACCTGCACTGCTACCACCCAGGTCAGTTGCCTCCTAAGTCACCTCTCTGCCTCCAGCTTTGCCTCCCTGCCATCCGCTCCCCGTTCAGCATTTAAGGAAGCGCTTTATACCATGATTCAGATCTTATCATAGTAACTCCCCATTTTTCTCCTTACAGTGGCCTCCAAGGCCTACACAGGCTGCTCCCACATTACCTCAGACCTCACTTCCTGCCATTCTCCCCTGTCCTCGCCCTGCTCCAGCCACACTGGCTACTTTACTGTTTCTCAAATACCAGGCAGTCTGCTGTCTCAGGGGTTTTGTGTGTGTTCTTTTCTCTGCCCAGAATGCTCTTCTCTTATATATGCTGTGTATATCACTCACTACATTATTTCTCAATGAGGCCTACCCTTCCAATCTAATATATAAAGACTCACCTATTATATAAATAATATGTAACTTACTATGTAAGTAATAATCTAGTAGATAAATTATAACCCTTTCCCTTGGCATTCCCTATTCCTTCTTCCCTTAATCTGTTTTTATTTCCATAGTGTTATCGTCTTCTAACATACCATATAATTTACCTTTTTTTTTCATTGTTTATCTGGATAAATAATAGTATTGATATTTACTTATTTTTATTATTTGTTGTCTGTCTCCCCTAACTAGAACATAAACTCTGGGAAGGCTAGTGTTTTTATCTTTTTTATTCACTCATATATCCGCAGCACCTAGAGCCCCTGTCAAATGAATTGATAGATAATATTTAAAGATGTGGAACTTAAAGCTTTTCTGTTTTTGTGAATTTTATCTACATATATATTCACTCATATGAAATGGTAGATATATACAAAGTTATTTATTATAGCATTGTAGCAAAAGATTGGAAACAACCTGCCTCTTTCAGTAACATACTGGTTAAATACCAGAAACTACCTCTTGCAGTAAGTTACTGGTTAAATAAATTATGATGTAACTATAGAATGGGAAAAGGTGCAGCTGGAAAAAAGACTAAGAAAGTTCTTTATGTACTAATATAGAATGATCTCCAAGATGCAGTAAATGAAAAAGAACACAACTTAGAACATTGTATATAGTATACTATCATTTGTTTAAAAAGATAGCCTGTGCTAATTCTAGAAGGACCCACAGAACTAAAAACATTGGTTCCTCCAAGGAAAGGAACTACATGGCTAGGTGACAAGGGTGGGAGAAAGGGAGATTTTGTGTTGTATGTTCTTTTGTGC